CTTGCCCTCTGGCACTCAGACTAGGTGGAATGCAAGGGCTTTGGATTGTCTTTATGCCCACAGTAACCTTGAATCGGCCTTATTGAATGAAAGAGTAAATCAGTCATAAGTTTGGGTAGTTAGGAAATTGTGTGCGTATGCACGTGTGCACATACATGCAAACCCAAAACCTTATTGTTTTATTTTTTTCTAAATAGTTCAGTTCAAGTCACCATGCTTCAAGGCTGATGACAATCCCATTGGCAGATCATTTTGGTATCCTTTGCCAGTGCCCTTCCCCCTTGGGGTCTGACATCCCACGTCCACTCTGGCTCCTAGCTCAGGGCTTACAGGCATTTAGTAATGTGGACCTCAAGTGGTGGCTCTTGGCCAGCCCACCTAGGTGGCTGCCTCTTTCCACCTCTGTGTGCCATCTAGGTATAGGTCATGAAATACTTATCCTCCCAGCATACAGTCTTTGCCAATCAAGTCTCTGTAGCCTTCAAAAGCTACATAAGGTTGTGTGTTTGAACTAGACGTGCATCCTGTCTCTCCATTTTACAAGGATCTCCTCGCCACTGTAAGCAGTAGGCTCCTCTTTCCTTTTTTCCTTTTCTTTATTGAGATATTTAAATACCATTCTTGCATATAAAGTGTATATGCACTGTATTGTGTAGCTATCATCATGATAGATATAATTAGAGTGGGCGAGGGTTGTTTGGATGTAGCCGCAGCATCAGCTGGCAGAAACTGGCATTGGGGTCTAATTCTGTCAAGTTAAACTGCAGAACCACCTGGAAAGTGCACAATCGGGAGTGAGAGGCCTGGAAGGAAAATAGTGGGTTCCTCCCTCTTGGGTTACCACTTCCACGGGAGGGCATAAAAACTAAGACAGGGGCTGGGGTGGCTAGACAGAGAGACACTCAACAAACTCGTGAGGGCTTGATTGTTGAGCTGGTTAGATGGATCTAAGCCTCAATGCCATTTGCCATGCACGAGAGCCAAGCGGGATGTGGGACAGACTGGACTAGTCTGCTACACATACTGGCCAACCATGGTAGGAGGCGGGCCTGGTGGGGGTTATTGTGGGTCGCTCTCACCAGGCTGCAGCCCACACCGATTTAGGTGAGAGCCGAGTATGTGCTGGGCAGTACAAGTCTGGACTTCAACACCCAGTTGAAGTTGGTTCCAGTGGAAGTCTGGGCTGAAAAAAGAACCAGCCCAGTGATTGCAACCACCAGCTGATTGGGGCAATGGACTGTTCTGGGCCCTGTGCTTGCTAGTGCATGCAAGAATCTGGTCTGGGAACACCTCAGACAAAGTTTCTTTGGGAATCTTCCCAATTGAAATGCTGGACTCAGAACCCTAACCATGAAAGGACAGAAGATGGAACAAGTTAATCAACCAGCTCAGCTATAGTTTGGCAGCAAAATACCGGGCAAATAGAGATGCTATGATGGACAATGTCAATCAGTGGATTTTTCAATGACCTCATCGTGTTTGAAGAGGCAAGATTGACAGCGATTCTTAACTGATGAACTATCAAAACCACTTGAGCGAGTATCTCAGAGCATACCCCACATGCGGGACTTGGGGTGGGTGGGAAACTGGGTGGGGCTTCGACGAACAGTAGCTTCTGTATCACACTCTCCCCGTTTCCAACCACGGGCAAGCAAAAAGTGTGCTTCTTCATTATGTATTTTGCTACGATTGACTTTCATTTATATGTGTAAGTCTTATCCTGTGATATATAGCTTGTTCCATTTTATTGTTAAATAACCATCCTTTGTATGCACTTAGGAAATTTGAAGGGTATTTGAATATCATTTGGAAATCTGATATCATTTGAAGGATATTTGGGATCCATTGATTCTTTTTAAAACTTGAAGATTTATTTCATTTGCTTGAAGGACAGTGTGATAGGGAGAAAGAGAAACAGAGAGACAAAGAAATCTCCATTTGCTGATTCAGTCCCTTAAGATTGCTAGGATCAAGGACCCGGTGTAAGTCTTTAATGTGGGTGGCAGAAACAGAATATCTGGGCTGTCTTCTGCTGTCCCAGGTGTGTTAGCAGAGAGCTGGATTGGAAACCGAGTAGCTGTATATCACAGGCAGCAGCTTAACTTGCTGTGACACAATTCTAGCCCCCAAAAGGCCCATAAGCCATTTTCTCTTCAGCTCTTTCCCTTTTGTGGCCCCAGATAAGGAACCATAAGGCCATCATCTAGGTCTAAGAAGAAATGAGAGGTAAGAACTGTGGCAAATGGAAGGGGGTGTGAACCATGTAGAAAACACAGCTCCTACACAGTCCCTGCCTGCAACAAGACCAGCTAGAATGATTGTTCTCAGATCCTTAGACAGCCCCGGAGAGGCCAAAACCTTGATTCTCATGTGGAAAGTTCATGAGTTTTAATTGTTGGTCAGTTAAAATGTTACTTTGAGGAGCAGACAAAACACAGAGTAAGATTACATGCTGAATGGGGTCCCTGAGTGCTGCAGAGCAACACATCTGCTCTGGGGGAGCTGAGAAAGGCTTAGCTGGACTATGCACTGGCCTGGTAACTCCTGCCTTCTCACTTGACCACAGGAAAAGGATATGGACATCATTTTTCGTTGGAGGGAAAAGAAGGGTCCAGGCCTAAAACCTGAGGCTCAGGGGTTGGAAGGGATGTGAATTCCTCCCATTCCTTGGCTCCTGAGTCTGCTGCAGCAGGGCAAATCAAAACATGGGCTGTCTTCACTAAAAAAGTGCTATATTGTTCTGTCTACTTTCGGATGGACTGTGGCCTGCAAGCATGTCCTTGATCATGACCATGACCTCAGCTTTGGTGGAGATGTGCCCTGAGTCAATTAGGACAGTAGAGGGAAAAAATGTGCTCCCCTGATGCAGAGAAAACATACTAGTAATGTTGGTTGGAAAGTAGAAAATATTTGACTCATGACAATAACAGCTAGCGTTTATTGAATAAATTCTGTTTATTTTGCATATGATTACAAAGAGAGTAGGCATTTTAAAGCAAAGGAAACTAATGGAACCCAGAGTTGGTGTAGTGCTTGGTCATTGCAAAGAGATTTTTGGATAAGGTAGGCAGTTGTACCTAACTCTGTTTTTGAAAGATGTTTGTCTTGGTGCAGAAATTTTGGGAATGCATGACGTTTTCATGATACACATTTTCACAAATTTCTTGAATATGATTATGTGTAGATTTCAAAAAATATGCACCAAAATAAACTTATGTTTTAATGTCATATTTCCATGAATTCTTTCATGTGTACTTGTAGTTATAGATAAATACTTGATACAGTGTTTAAATTTATATTTGATTTTACTTACTTTTTTAAAAAGTTCTGTTTATTTTTATTGGAAAGACAGATCAGATTTACACAGAAAAGGAGAGACAGAAAACTTTTCCATGTGCTAGTTTACTCCGTAAATGGCCACAATATTTGGAGCTGAGTTGATCTGAAACCAGGTGCCAGGAGCTTCCTACGGATATCACACACAGGTGCAGAGTGCCATGGTTTTTGGGCCATCCTCTACTGCTGGTGGAAAGTGGAGCAGCCAGGACATGAACTGGCACCCATTTGACATCCCAGAGCTTGCAAAGTGAGGATTTAGCCATTGATGCTACACACCACGCCCAGTATTTAAATTGATTACCCATTCAGAAAACAGTAAAAGCAAATCCTTGTTTCCAAAGTGTTTTACTGGTTTCCATATTCTTTGGTTAAATCCTCAGCACTAAGTTAATTGGTTAGTTAATAATTGGGATCAGTTGTCTACATTAGCAATTCAGGCAACCTACTTAAAGAATTCTGATGGTGGGCCCGGTGCAGTGGCCTACCGACTAAAGTCCTCACTTTAAACCCTCGCGGGATCCCATATGTGTATGCTGGTTCTAATTCCAGCAGTCCCGCTTCTCATCCAGCTCCCTGCTTGTGGTCTGGAAAAGCAGTCAAGGACGGCCCAAAGCTTTGGGACCCTGCACCCATGTGGGAGACCCGGAAGAAGCTCCTGACTTCGGATTGGCGCAGCTCTGGCTGTTGCAGTCACTTCAGGAGTGATTCATTGGATGGAAGATCTTCCTCTCTGTCTCTCCTCCTATATATATATATGTTTGACTTGCAATAAAAATAAATAAATCTTTTTTTAAAAATAAAAGTATTCTGATGGTGAGGACACGTCAGATCCATAGTAGACTCAATCTCTCTGCATCTTCTCTCCCTCTGCCTATTGTCTGTTCCTTCTTTCTGTTTTACTTCCTTATTTGCATAGTGAGAGAAGGGATAATTCTTTAGGAGCAAGAATGAACCACAGGCATAGTTTTACTTATACTTTTTTTTTTATTCCTTTAGTTACTGAAAGCTGAATATTTACTTAGCACTTTACTGCTTCCTAGTGCCATCAACCAATTCATACAAATTTTTCTTATAACTAAATGACGATTTGCATTGTATTATAATTCTGTCTCCTTCAGCAAGCTAACCAACACTCACTCAGTTGAAAAGTTGGCCATTGTTGACCTAGTCTGTTTTCAAAGGATGGGATATAGAAATTATGTGACACTTGTCATCTCAAGCAGGATGTGTTGGCAAGGAAAAGGAAACAGTGTTACTAATCATGCAGGGACATTAGATGAATCTGGAGTCATATGGTCTTCTTATATATTGAGTGGAAATGAATAATTCCAGTTATACTGGGTAACTATAAATGTGTTACATGCTTATAGTTTGGGAGCACCTGTTGTGGAAGCTTTATATGATTTATCTCACTCTTGCAACATTCTTATGAGAACATTTTTAAAATTGCTTGGAAAAATGAAATTAAAAGATGAAGTTACTTTGGTGCAAAAAGATTGAAATGTGTCCATATATAGTTTTTCATATAAGCATTTCCATACATTTTTAAGATCCTTTATACATACGACTCGAAAAACAATTTTACACCAAAACTGATTATTTTTTAGCTGTGAAAAGCCAGACACTGTCATGGATGGTCTTTCTCTCCACAATTCTTCTAGGTCTGCCAGTTTGTCGTCTCTGTCAACGGACTCAATGTGCTACACGTAGACTACCGGACCGTGAGCAATCTAATACTGACGGGCCCACGGACGATTGTCATGGAAGTTATGGAGGAGTTAGAGTGCTGAGTGGCTCTTCCTCCAAGCCCTGCAGAGGCCTGTGGCTGACCAAAGCCAGAAGGATGCGAGCGGTGCACATGCAAGACTTCCGTGGGAAAGGATGGCTTTGGACATACAAATCTTTTCTCTGTACATACTCATCTTGAGTTGAGCTTCATACACTGAGTGTGGAAGAATCGGGTAACATGTCTTTCAAAACAAGTGTCAGTGTAGAAGACATTTGGGAAATAGAGGTTTCCTACAAAATTGCCTTACTAGATTTCTATTTGTAATTCTTGTTCATTGTTTTTAATCATAGTTTGCGGAAGGTTGTTGACATGCTTCTCTGGCCAAAACTACAGCATGCTAAAATTCTTTTTATAACTGTCAATGGAGTAATTTTTCAGACTTTTAGTGGTACTTTGACCAAAATTAGCATGGAACTGTTTGAAAGCAGATCTGAAAAAGCTCACCAAGCTACAAATTAAAGCAATATTCAAGGGAGTGTGATTTGTTAACTAGCATTTTAAAGAAGGTTCTAAATCAAATGGTTTTCTTAACTGTTACCTTTAGAACCGGCTTTTAACATGTTTCAATCATGGCGTTAGCTAGGAAACAAAACACAAGAGTACCATGTGCCATGGATGCAGACAAACAGGGAGATGATACTTAAAACTGTTTAGCCCATTTTTTTTCTTTTTGAATTACAGTGTTTTGTGCTGTAAATCAGCCATAGCAGCTTTCTAGAGTGAATCTCTAATATATTGAATGTGAAAACAGAGCAGACTGTATATATACATAGACAAAATTTGAAGTGATCATTCTGGCAAGATTTCATTTTGGAAGTGTCCATTTTTGAAAGAAGTATTTCAGAACTTGGCCCATCACCTGTGATGAAACTTGAAACTCCATCTTCATCTGGGTTTTTACTAATGTTGTAATATAGCGTATTTGACGGACATGACATGCTGCTTTTGGGGTGGGGGGGAGACTATTTTTTGCCAAAATCATTATTTTATTATATAAATTTCATCTCGCGTGTATATATGCATGTTTCTCTTTTTGTCTAGAAAAGAGTGCATTTGGGGGCTTGATAGAGAGGAAATTCCTCAACGTGCCAAACTGGGGAGACAGGAAATGCTAAGTCTCTTCATTTCACATCATGAATTTTGAATGATGACGTTACTTATCATGCATTAATAACTAACACATGAATGTTTTAGCTTGGCCGTTTCTTTGTGATGGGTTATCTATCAAATGTCTTGGTGGAAGGGACATACCATGCTAAAGGTAGATGTCATATACCATGCTATAAGATGTCATACTTATGTAGTTGGTTCTGGAAATCAATCTTTCCTGCTCTGTCACATTAGTCAAAAAATAGGATTTTGAAGTAATAGTAACCAATAGTAATTCTGTTGTGCTACATGTGGACAAATTGTTGCTTCTATGTTATGTGCATTGATACTGTATGCCAGGCTCTGCACCATCCATTTAAGGTGTATGATCTTTATTATTCCTCATCACAAACCAGCAGCATGGCTCCTGACAGTCACATTATTCAGATGTCTGAGAAAGATGAAAAATGTTCATGAAGTCCACCCAGCTACTGGAATGGCTACGTGATATAGCCTGAGCTCAGACAAGGGCTTGTTTAAAAAGCCCTGCTACCCCCTCCCCAATCCTGCCCACTGGGGAACCTTATATTGAGAACTTATTACATGATAGATGCTGTGGGACTTTATGGCATTTATCTGAATTAACCTGTGAGGTCAGCGTTGATTGCCCCCATTTTAGAAATGCAGAAACTAATTCCTGAAGAGGCTAGTCCTGTGCCCAACACCACACACTGGGCAAGCAGATCACCGTTTCTTCCTTGTGAAACATTTTAGTAGCATCTTTAAAATATAAGCTTAAGTTCTGCCTGCTGATACTCCTTGGCAAAAGAAGGAAGGAATGTCAAGAAATGAAATCTTGCCTACTACTTCCATTTTCTGCTCACAGCCTCATACCCATTGCCTTAGAGCCTGGCATCTGTAACTTCCCTTTAGCCATCCCAGGTACTGGAGAATTCTGTCTCCTAATGGATTCTACAAAGGCTCCTCCTGATCACAAGGAAAACAGGCAGGCAGGGAGGGAGCAGTTTCCCATCACCCTCAGTTTAAAGGCCAGTGCCAAAGAACCTCTTAAGGCCATCATCAGAGCTCCACCTCCACCCTGCCCTTGACATCTCACAGAGCAATGGACACCAACACTCTCACTTCCCTAGGCACCCCACCTTCTCTCCGGCCTGATTGCTCCCCAAGATGTTCCTCCTGTTCTGCCTTCCCCAGAAGATTCTTTCTTAGATCTCTGTGGATGTTGTCTCCATCGAGAAGCTTGTATGAGTTCTCTAAATCTGGCGTTAATGCCCCTTCTCTAAATTCCCTTGGGCTGTTATCCCTCACCCTGCCCCTTGTGACTCTGATGACATTTACTTAGAAAAAATTCTGTTACATGTCTGTCTCCCTAACCACACTGTAAGCACATGCAGAATAGCAACTGTGTCTTGCTTGGTATCAAGGTTGTTCCCTTCATCTAGCATAGTTTTGACACAGAGCAGTGTGTCAGTTGTCTGTTGTTGTCTAACAGACCACCCCATATCATAACTACTGCAGCATTACTTACTTGCTCATGGTTCTATGGCGAGAACTGGGCAGAACTATTGATGTAGCCCATCAGTGTTCTGCAGGGGCCGACAGGTTTACCCAGTGAGCACCTGGAGAGGCTGGTTCATTTTGGATAGCTTCATGCATGTCTTGAGGTTGGTGGGAGGTGTCATCCAGTAAGCTTCAGTACCATATGGCTTTTCTCCTTGGCTAGTACAGACTGAGATCAAAAAGGCTGAGGATGGAAACTCTGAGACTTGCTTGAAAATAATACAATGTACCCTTCAAAACAAGTTACAAAGCTAGCTAAAGGGGTGGAGAAACAGATACCACCTTTTGATGGGAGAAGCTTTAAATAATTTGTGGCCAGTTTTCATCCTCAAGGATCAGTACCCACTATTTGTTGGATAAAAACTCAAGAGATGACCTGGATGTTGAAAGCTTTGGGTTTTCCTACATAGTTACAAACAACTGGGCAGATGTGGAGTATTAAGTTAGGAATTTAAAAAGTCATTCAGTCAGAAAATTCTATGATACTGTTTGCTACCTTTGGCCATCTGGAACACAAGTTAGTTTTGTTGTTTGATTAATGAGGAAACTGAGCTGTGACTTGTCCATGTAGCACACCCAACCTCATGAGGGAGGCACGTTGGGTTAGAACGTGGTCAAACCATGCTTCCCACTTCCCAGACCTATAGTCTGTGCAGTAGAGCCCTCTCCGGTGGAAGATAATGCAGCCAAAATAGGCCTTTATCTTGAAGGTATCCGCAAGCTGAAAGTAGTGCTGTGCACCGGTGAAGGTAATGAAAAGTGCTTTAACATCCCAAGTCTTTGGATCTTAAATTATATCATAAAAAGAAACATATTGTGTGGGACATTTCCATAGTGTCCTACTTTAAAATTTAAAAATCTAACTATCACCAGAAGCAATCATAAATTAATCATTAGCAGTGTTTGTAAGAATCTTTATTTCATATGTGTATGTCTATGATTATAATCTCAAAGAGGAAAGTTTGTAATATCTGAGGTCTCCCTTTTCGGTAAAACTTTGAAATGTCTTTCTTTGAGTCTTTATAAAACACTTTTGAATTTTAGGTGTTTGTGGGTTGTATTTGTGTTGCTGTAATGGAGATGACAGTCAATTTTTAGTCATTAGTACAGAATGTTCAAATTTGAAAGCCATATTCTGTTGTAGAGAGAGAAAAATGCAGTTGGCTTTGGGTTGGTTTTATTGTCTCTTTTAGAATTGTGCAAGTTAATAAAGGAACTAGTTAAGAATTGGTGAATAATGTGAAGAAAACAACTATCTTTACACTGTATGGATAGAATCAACTTCACAGAATTGTATGAAAATTGGCTGCATTGGAAGGAACAGGGATGAATATTAAAAATCCAATTCTTTCAGTTGGAGCCTTACTTTTCCAAATACTTATACTTTCAAATATGTTTAGAAAATAATCCGCTTTTAAAACCTGTCTTACACTGATGATATGAACTCTCCTGTGAGTATTAATCCTATTCTAGTTGGATTATAAATGAGCTCAATAACTCAAGGACATTTTACTAATCGGTTGAAATCTGTTGTCAATGACTATCATTGCCCTCATTTAAGGCACATTTCAAGTAAAATGTGTTTTTCTTCTATTGAATACCAAAAGGATAAAGCTTCATGTATCAAAATAAAGTTCATCATCAAAGACAAAACATGGTATTGTCAAATGTGCTAATATATATCTTTATTATTAAATTAAGTCGCGGTGTATTTGCTTTCTTTATTACAAACTGTAAAGTTATGTGAAAACATATAGGAGTATAGCATTAAAAGATACACTAAAAGAAACGATGACTAATTTATCATAATCTGACTCATTTCTAATTCCATGAGAGAGCCAAAAGTGCCATTTGTAAATCTATTTAATGATGAATGTTTTCTGAAGGCCTTTTGTCAAGAAAAAAAAAAGTGTGCATTAAAAAGCTTTTTCTGTATTACTTCTGATTCAGAATCACTTCCTTCCTACACAAGTCAGTATGGATGGGCATTCTAGAATATTCTATCTACATGGTAGTGGTAGAAATATTCTACCACTCTGGGAGAATTTTATTTTTTGTTTTAATTTTCAACAAACAGAGATTAGAATTTGAGTATAAAAGGAGTTCTTTTCTGAACACGCACCTTAATTGTGACATCATTTCATTTTTCTTTGAAGGACCTCTTACATCTAGATGTTTTGGAAAGGCACACTCAAATTATGTCAGCAGTGCCATCACGTCTGCAGTCGAGGTGGAAGCACAGGTTGCCGTGTGATACTGGGTAAAACAAAGGAATGCTTGGGAAAAAACTTGGCCAGAGTGCAATGTCTTCTTAGTTCTGGGGCCTGACAGCTCCTTTTACTTTGTTTTATCTGTATGGCTTGCTCAGCCTTCAAGGATTTCGTATTGCATTTGGAATATCCTCTGCTCCTTTGGGGTTAAATATTAAATCCATTTCTTGAACACTAGGTTGACAAAGTGTCATTCCCAGTGGGAGCTTTGAGACAGTAGCTAAGTGGCAGCTCTTGAGGTCCAATCAGAGTAGGTGGGACACCTGGTAGTTAAAATCTAGAGTGAGTTTAACAAAGGTGAGGGCAGACATTAGCCCTATAACCTCAACTTTGCACACAGTGCGGAGTGTGCAAGAGTAGCTGTAACTTTGTAAGTGTAGGTTATAAAAGTTGGGTATGTTTCACCGCTTTGAAGGAGGAAGAAGCAGAATACCAGCCCTTGCCCCTGAACATGGTAAACTCATGGTCAATGGGACATGGGAACGTCAAGGCTAATACATAATTACACAGGGCTTATGGAACTGTATCATGAAAAATAAAAATAAGTTTTAAAATATTAAGCAGGGAGACTCCCAGAACTAGTATTTACCAGCAGAAAAGGAGGAAAGGTGGGAGTGCAAACACAGACCAGCCTACCTCTGTTTATTAGGTAAACAGTCCCTGGGCTTTTGGATTTTCTCTCAGCCAGTCTGGGTTATACCAGAAGTGAAAAATGTTCTAGGACTTTCCATGCTTGAAGTACGTTTCACCTCTGGTTATAAGAACAGGGTAATCTGCTTTTCCACTTCCTCCTTATCACTTTCTTTGCTTCCTTCTTCTGTGGTAGAGCATTCCCCATTTACAAGAATTTAACAGAAGCGTCAAGTGACAGAACCGTTTTTATTGGTAAGAGACTGTGCATGTGTTGGTTTGGTCTGTAATTGTGTGGATGGAAACAATCAGAAATAACAAATGGTAGCTTGTATTTATTGCTCTCTAAATGTAGGCCAGCTGATGTGCTAAATGTGTGCTGCGAATGATCTCACTTGGTTCTCCCCGACACCCCATGTAATCAGCTCTAGGAAAATTACCGTTCGGTAGGCACAGGCACCATCTCTCGAGACAATGAAGTCAGTGGCACAAGGTTATGCACTGGTTACTAAGTGGTAGGGCCAGGCTTGGATCCCAGTCATTCTGATTGCTGAGGTGTCTGCTCCCTATGACATCCGGGTCATACAGGCATGTGATGCAAGAAAAAAAAAAATGAGACACCCCTGTTTTCTTAATGTGGGTGTACCCAACCCCCTGCTGAGCACCAGCAGGCTCACCTGGTGACTGGCTTTTGTTTCGCAGAGGGGTTCCACTTGCCTCCCTCTTGCTTTTCAGCATTGCCACCTCTCTGGTTTCACTTTCTCTGAGGTTGAGGATGTGGCAGCGCCTTCTCCAGCTTCCTTTATAGAAGTTAACACCCAGTGTTGTGTCATTGTAGTCATTACAGTAATCGGTGCCTGCTACTGAGTGGGCCCCTTCGCTCTGTGAAATGCTGGTGTTAAGTGTCCGTCAGTACAGGTGGGCTTTCGAGGATAGGGCTTCATCTGTGAGTCCTTTAGGCTCATTGTTTAATAAGGTTCCCAGTACACGGTAGCCTCTTGATGGAGATGTATTCCACGAAAGCCTGTATTTTAAAAAACATCTCCAGGTCTGCAGCCTTGCCTGGTCTTCCCCAGAATGCACACTGGACCAAGAACACAGGTCTTTCTTTGTTTTGTTGTTGCTAAACTTTTATTTTGAAATTTTGAATTTTATGGTGCAATTTCGTAGAGACTGGCATTCTGACAGCCTGTGGGGGACACTCCACTCTTTTTCATGCAGTCCTGGAAGCAGCCTTATGTGGCTTCACTTTGCCCAGGCCCTCCTTAAGTCATGGTCAGGCCAGACTGACATCTGGTGGCACACAGAGGACCTTTAACTTGTTCCCTAGTGTTTGAAAAAAGCCCGATTTTTTAATGTCACTCTTTTACCATCAGATGAATTGAGAGAACTCCCAGGATCCCAGGCTCGTATGAAGAGTTTGCATTAAAAGCAGCACTAATGTTGCTGCTCATTCATTGCCATGAACATGCTTAGTGTTTTATGTGTATTATTAAGCATTTAAATTTACTTTGCTTCCGTTGTTCCATGGAACCACTCTCTAATGTAAACAATCACTTTCTGATGCCTCACTTAATTCCACCCTAACCTTTAATCTTCTACCTCTGCTTCGTCCAACATTCCAGACAACCAGGTCGGAAGGCCAGGGCTCCATAGTGCAGCTGGACTTGGCACTGACGTGAAAGTGCCCATGTGTACACAAACACACACACATGCACACAGCAAAGAAAAGGGGTTCATTTCAGTTCAGACTACTTTACCTAATGTTAGCTTTAACTCCTGATAAATTCTTCAATCTTGGAATTTTTTGTGCTTTTTTTTTTTTACATGAATCATAAGTTAAAAAGTGTCTTGAAGTTTTCAAGTAGAAAGGGAAAGATTTTTAATCTGCTCTTCAATCTCCATATTCTGAGTCACTGACTATTGCAGAATTTTATTGGAAAACAGAGTGGCTGTGAGCCGTGCCAGGAGCAATATAAACTCACTGGCTGTACACATTTAGGGTTGCACAATGCGCACACTGTTAGGGGCTTCCTAACTCCTATTTCTAGCTGTGTGTACGGGGAGCCCAGTATATGCGTCCTGCTGCCACAGGCGGCTGAAGTGCTGTCTTCCTACCCCTTGGTAAAGACTTCTGTCATGTCAGTTACCACATGACTCCAGATGATGTAAACCTCTTAGTATGGGCAAGGGTGAGTCCAGAAACAAAGCATGCATTGGTCTGTGCAGCGAGTCTGCTAAGGTCAGACAGTTGGAGGGTTGTGCTGGGATCTCCCCTTCTCTCGCCCCTACAGCATGAATAGACTGCCTCTGATGTGGCTGCTGGAGTCCTCCCCCACTCCTAACCCCTGCACCCCAAAGAGCGTACTACTGAAAAAGACGAAAATAGGGCTCACACAGTTGGCATTCAATACTCTTTCTGTGTTCCCAGAAACATTCCTTTATAGTTAGTGTCTGGACCAGTTTAAGTTCAGGGAAAGTGCCTTTTGGAAGAACTTCATGATGACTGGTGTATAAGGCTATTTCCTTTTGATCCTCCTTGATCACAAACTGCTGTTGCCTCGCCCTTACTCTTTTCCTTCCACATTTTGACTAAGATCTGTTACTTGTCCTTATAGGCTGCTAGCAGCCTTTTAAAGCTTTCGTTGAGTGCTGAACTCTACTTCTGGGATGCTGGCTACAAAGGAGCAAGCATAAATAGGACCATGAATATAATACTGTGCAGTAGAATAAGCACTGGAGCCTCCATGTGGAGAGGATGTATCTGTGGGTGGGTCCTTGTTGGATGATAAACAGGAAACACACGCAAAGGTCAGCACCTAGGCAATATGGAGATGTGCCCAAAGGCAAACTCAGTCATTGGGATCAGACATGAGCTGGAGGTGGCGGCAAAAACCATGATCTAGACAGATGAGGTATATACCGGAAAGCAAACGTTGAAATAAAGAAGAACGCACAAGATCTTTTGTCCTTGTGAATTAACCTCAGCTAAACTTGAAACACAAAATTTGAGCAGACGTATCTTTATGTCCTTAAAATTGTCAGCTGCATATTAGCTCTATCTGTATAGTTGTTTTGCCTTAAAATTGAAAACCCCAGGAGCTTCATCTTTGGGGATCTACCCCAAAATTATACTTCTGACACAAAATCCCTAAGAATTTTAAGCACATATGAATTAAAAGCAGTACCCAAGTGCCTTTTTAATGTCCTAACTTGAGCAGTTTCCCTGAGGAATATGTAATGTAAAAAAAAAATGAAATCAGTAATTATTGGCACTGTTCATTTCATATTTACCTTTTTAGGTTCTTACAACATCTCATAAAGTTGTTGCTTACATGAGACAACCCATAATATCACTGTATATATGACAACACACATAATGCCATTGTGCAATTTTATTTTTAGCACACATCAACTTTAAGGTGGATTGTGGTACTTTGACCAGGTGTTTACTCACTAAGTCATCTTTCCTTGGAGCTGGCATTTCTTCTAGAATTAAGACACTCGGAGCACCCCCAATTCATTCCTTCCAACTGTTATTGGATCCTAGGGGGTGGCAGTGATGGCTCAAGTAACTGGATTCTTGGCTCCCATGTCACAGATCCCCCTTTGAGTTCCCAGCTCTTGGTTTTGGACTCAATTCAGACCTGGCCTTTGCAAGCATTTAGGGAATGAGCCAGTACATTGGGGGTCACAGTCTCTCCAATCTCCTCTCTCCCTCTGTCTGCCTCACAAATGAAGAAAATAAAAAACTGTCTTTCTTCTTCCGCAGGCCTATAGCAATCCCCCGTTTCCAGTTCCTATGACAAATGTGATGCCATCTGGTGAGAAATATGGCACAGTTCTAGTCAACAGTATATGGGTAGAGGTTATGTACTCAATTCCAAGGCTGGCCGTGCAGAAACCTGTGATACCTCATACCCCCCCTCTCCTCATACATGGGCAAAGAAGGAAAGATTTTACAATAGAGGGGCAGGACTTGGGCCTCTGAGTCATCTGTGGAATGAAACATCCTGACTCATGTCAGGCCAATAAACTTTACTTACAGCAAGCCACTGAAATTTGAGAGATTTATTTGTTATTGTAGCATAGATAAGCCTTCCCTGACTAATGCAACATTGTTGCAGAAAATGAAATGAAATACATGTATTTGCTTTTAAAAGAACTGATTATTAAATGAAACAAAAGATTCACACATGAAACAAATCTGCAAAA